AAGTGACAACCAATGGGTAGGGGGTTTCCTTTGAGAGGGACAAAAATATTCTAAAACTTGACTGTGGTAATGGGTCCACAACCCAATGAAAACTAAAACACCACTTAATTATATACACTTTGAATGAACTGTACGGTATGCAAATTATATCACAATAAACTGCTTAAAATAGAAGAGGAAAATAATTTTCAAATAATTCTCTTACAAGTAACTGAAGCAATAAGAAGAATGTTATAACGTTAAGATGTACTTAAAGGGCTTCCTCTAATGATTTAACTTCAGCAGTAGCAAGCCCCTTAGCCTGTTTTAAATAGACTCCACTAGCAAATAAGAGTTTTCAAGTGGAGAGAATACCAAGCTTTTTCCAAAGCAGAAACAAACACTTCTAGCTGTAAAGTTACATGATAGTTAAATAAACATAAGCGATTGCAACTCCTGTGAAATACCAACAGGGTACGTACACACACACACACACACACACACACACAATGGGGAAAAGAAGATGAAGAAGAGAGAGGAGGAAGAAAAGAACATGGGAAAATAAATATCATGTCAGAACAAATCTGCATCTTATCATTCTACAATATACAATAACTTCCAAAACTTGAGACTTCACAGCATAAAGCACTACTATTTGTGCTTTCCTGTGCTAACCACCCGTAAGGAATAATTTTGCCTTGTTGTATTACATAAACATAAACCAAACTTACTAAAGCAACACTCAAAATTCATCAGGTACTTAACCTCAAAATGATATAAAATTATTCTGGCACATGACCAATGGTCAGTGTGAGGTTCTGGGCATCTATTTACTAGTTATGAATGTAGTATTTTAAATTCTTAAATATCCATCAGGAGAAAAACTGATGTCCAGTGTACTCACCCTATTTCTAACCTTCTATATACACAACCTATGCTCTAATAATTAAAATCATTATTTCTTTTTCTTTTCAAATCCCCATCCCAGGTTGGCCATATGAGCATTGGTGAGAACGTACGATCACAGGATACTGTTACACACAGCCAGCAGGACAGATGCAGATACAACCCTGTGGAGAGTAGCTGGCAATTTTCAATCAAGTTGAAGGCAAGCCCTACACTTCAGCACACATTCCACTTCTAGGTGGATGTCCTGGAGCAGTGCTATGTTCCATGGAACAGAGTACGTTCAATGGAATGACGCCATGCCTTGAGCTAATTTTTTACTGGTCCACCACAAGACAGACACAGAAATGTGTTTCAAGATTTCTATGGTAATTTGACAGAGAAATTCTTGTTTTAAAAACCTGAGCTTATACAGTAAAACCTTGGCTTTTGAGCCTAAATCGTTCCGGAAACATGCTTGTAATCCAAAGCAATTGTATATCAAAGCAAAGTTCCCATAAGAAATAATGGAAACTCAGATGATTCACTCCACAATCTAAGAATATTCACATAAAAATGATTACAACAATATAATATGAAATAATAAAGAAAATACAAAATATAAATGAAAATAAACAAATTAACCTGCACTTACCTTTGAAAACCTTCGTGGCTGATGTGAGGGAGACAAGAGAGGAGGGTTACTGTGTAGGACAACTTTCACTATCACTAACTGATGTTGACTATAGTACAGTATTAATAAACTCTTATCATTTACTGTATTTAATGTAACTGGCAAAAAGGCAGCAGAGGAAAGGGTCTGTATCTGCAGGCAGCCTGACCTAGAATGAAGCAACGCATTCCTAAGCTTACTCTTGTCTGGAAAAGCAAAGGACTGTCCACAGGTGCCAAAGTGACAAAAAGACACTAGTGCCAATTGTGGGCACCTTCCAACATTCTGAAAAATCACTGATTTCTGCCAAACACCGCGGCCTGAGACCAAGCATCTGAGCATGGGAGATGATCACCCACAATCCCGCAGAGAGAGAGAGAGAGTGAGAGTGAGAGAGAGAGAGAGAGAGAAGAGAAAGAGAGAAAAGAACCATGGCTCAGTGGTGATCATATGACGTTCAATGTCACATAATACTCGTATTGCAAGACATCAATCATTTATCACGTTATGATTTATTAGAAAGGTTTGCTCATCTTGCAGAACACTTGCAGAACAAGTTACTCACAATCCAAGGTTTTACTGTATTTTCTTTTTTATTTCATTTTCTTAGTAATTTTTATTGTATTTTACACAAGTACTGATCTACAACATATTGGATACCAACAAACCAACCATTAAACACTCAAGTCTTAAGAAACACTGCCCCAGGGTAGAAGAATACTTATATAAGAATGTCCATTGTAGCAATCTTTTCAGTGAAAACTGAAAACGGCCTAAATGCCCAGCAAGTGAAAAACAGAGTATTAAAAGGAACAATCTAATTTAAATGACTCAACACGGATGAAACTCAAAACTCACTGACGTGATTCCACACAAAAGTAATACGATATAGAGGTATACACACACGTGCATAGTTAAAGCATAACAATCATGCATGAAAGTGATAAACATCAAATTCAAGATGAGATTACTTAGGAGGAAAGTAGAAGGGGAAACTGGGGAAAGGCACACAGAGTTAACTACTTATAATGTAGTCTTTCTTTTAAAAAAGGCTATTACAAACAAGACCAAAATGCTAAGATGTGACAAGGGAAAATGGACGATGTTGGTTATATCACTTTTCTAAAATTTGTCTATGTATCAAAAATATTTCTTTTAAAAACACCAAAAATGAAAACAAAGAGAAAAGTAGTAATAAATTAATAGAAACTGCTACAAAGGAAAAGATTATCAGAGTAAAAAAAGGGACAGAATTCAAGAAAAGACTTTTTGAAGAAAGTGACTTTTACACAGAAAAGGGAAGGATCTGTAAGGATTAGCCAGAGTGGGGGAGATGTCCAGACAGGAAGAACAGTGCACTGATCCTGAGGCAAAATGAAAGGCATGCAGGGCAGTGTGGACCCTGTGAGTCCCAATGAACCATGGCAAAAAGCATGCACATTGTGGTTGAAGTCATTAAAGGATCTTAAAGCACAGAAGTGACATAACACAATTTGTATTTTAGAAAGATCCTTCTGGGATACATGCACCCCAATGTTTATAGCAGCACTATCAACAATACCCAAAGTATGGAAAGAGCCCAAATGTCCATCGATGGATGAATGAATAAAGAAGATGTGGTCTATATATACAATGGAATATTACTCGGCAATCAAAAAGAAGGAAATCTTGCCATTTGCAACTATGAGGATAGAACTGGAGGGTATTATGCTAAGTGAAATTAGTCAGAGAAAGACAAAATCATATGACTTCACTCAGATGAGGACTTTAAGAGACAAAACAGATGAACATAAGGGAAGGGAAACAAAAATAATATAAAAACAGGGAGGGGGGACAAAACAGATGAGATTCATAAATATGGAAACAAACTGAGGATTACTGGAGGGGTTCTGGGAGGGGGGGATGGGCTAAATGGGTCAGGGGCATTAAGGAATCATTGTTGCACTATATGCTAATTTGGATGTAAATTTTTAAAAATAAAAAAGAGATTAAAAAAAAAAGAAATTCCCTAAACAATATCCTTCTGTATGTTCAAAATGTTTTATAATCCTGCTTCTATCACATCTCTTAATATTATTTATCATAGAAATACTTAAGTATGCACACTGTAATTTCTAGAATAACCACTGAAAAAACAAAAATAGAATGAAAAATTTTGAGAACCATTTCAAAAGCAGAAAAGCAGCAAAAACCACATGGAAAATGAGAAACCACAAAATAAAATGATTCATTAAACCTAAACACATCAATAGTATATTAAATGTAAAGGGACTAAATAGTCCCAATAAATTACAAAGACTGACAGACTGACAGGAAGGACTCTCAGAACCCAGCTTTTAGGTGGCATGCATCAGGTAGGGAGATTTGTAAGTGACCAGCAGGTTCAGAGCTGAGACTTCCAATGACCTGTCCACCTTCTTCCTGTCAGGGTCATGCTTTCTTCTAGCATATCCAGCAGGGAAGCACTTGCCATTGTGGGGCCTAGCTGTGGGTCTGCATACTAGACTGAGTTGGGGGCTAGAGGGCTAGTTCTGTGTGTCCAGGGTTCAATTTGTTACCAGAGGGAATTACAAATGTGAAACAGATGAAATATGGAATAAATCCTACTGTGATGAAATAGTGTGTTGGTATAAACTTACAGTTTTTAACAGATGATAGGTAAGGCAGGTATATAAATAGATAAATAGGAAGGAAAGAGGGAGGGAGGCTAGGTATACACACATGATACATTGGGTAAGATAAAAAAAAAAAAGACAGTATATAAAAGAATATTTTTAAGATGTTAATTACTACTAGTGAGGAAAAGGAATACAGGAATAGGATGAGAAGGAGCACACAAGAAGTTAAGGACATTGATAACATTCTATTTCCTAAGATGGATGATGTTCATTTTATTATTATTGTGTTATTACACTTTCTAACATGTATTTTGCATGTGAGTGTACTCTCAACATGGCATATCAAGAGCCTGGATTTAGAAGTCTTAACATGAGCCCTAACAACCTAATCATAATGGAAATTCAGCCTTCCCACTAACTTCCAGGTAGAGCATGTCATTTTGGTTTATTTGCTTTAAACACACAACAATGCTCAACCATGACTATTTGTTCTAATACAGACGCACTCGTTCCTCAAAGCCTCCCCTTCATGAATATTCATTTTTTTAATCTCACCAAATGTACCTTAACCTTAAAGAAAAATAACAAAGAGAATGTTATCTTTTTACCAAATAAGGATTCAACTCAAATATGACTACTGAAGCAATTAATAAACCCTGAGAGAACTGTTGTCATCACATCTATCTAGGCTGGTACATAAAGGTTTTTTAAGGACAGATTGATTTATAAGAGAAAAACAAGACATATTTCTTTTAGACTTCCAACTAAACAAAGGTCTGTTTTATATTTTAACTTTCTTCTGACTATATATTATTTTATAAAAATAAAATGACTATTTTACTTACCATTCCACTGGAATTATTAATTCCATTCATATTAATTTTGGTTACAAATCTAACTGATGGAGGAGCTTCTGGGTATTTAGGTCCACATTCTACTTTCAGGCTATATATTCTGTTTTCATAATTTGTCTGGAAGGCAAAAATAATAATATTCAACTGCTAATGAAGAGGAAAGGTACAATATTAGTGTATTTGATATTACTTTATGATCAATAATTTATATTTTTGTACATTCACATTTATATGATAAGCTAACCAGCTACAGATTTCACTTACCCAAACCGATCCACAACTTCCTTTCCCTTAAGTAAGAGCTATTCCCAAATGGAGGTCAGAGCTGGGATACTAAACTACTGTAATTTAAAATGTATGCAACAATCTTATATATATATTACTAATTATTTCAACACTTTGAAAAGAAACACCTGTATAAAAGTCAACCAAGGTTAACCGCACACATCCATTAACACGCCCAGCAGTTTGGATGTGTACAGTAAGGACTAACATCACGGAGATCGCAAGGAAATCATCCAGTCTGTGGTACTCAATCTGGATGAACAGTAACCTATCTACAAGACTTACATTAACAAGTAAGAATAATAGGGCCGCCTGGGTGGCTCGGTTGCTTAAGCGCCCAACTCTGGTTTTGGCTCAGGTCATGATCTCACAGTTTGTGGGTTTGAGGCGCAGGTCAGGCCCCATGCTGCCAGAGCAGAACCTGCTTGGAATTCTCTCTCTCCTTCTCTCTCTGCCCCTCCCTGCTCACTCTGTCTCTCTCAAAATAAAAAAAATAAACATTAATAAATAAATAACAAAAATAATAGTAATAGCCCCCAACAAACTCTATAATGTTAAATATACTCAACGTATATGGGAACAACCAGAACTCTCACACTTTACTGGGAGTAGAGGGGGGTATAACCATTTAGGAAACAAACGGGCATTTTCTTATAAAGATAAATAAGTGTGTACCTACCTACCCTATGATGTAACAATTCCATTCCTAGACATTTTATCCAAAAAAATGGAAACAAGCATGTTCTCAAAAGACTTTTAAAAGACTGTTCATAGCAGCTTTATTTCAAATAGCCACAAAGTAGATAAAATCCAAATACCATGAACACAGTGAAAAATACATTATGGTACAAATCCATACAGTAAAATACTACTCAGTAACATAAATATTAAGAACCATAAATAAAAAGAACCGCTACCACTACTGTGTGGAACAACACAACTAAATCTCTGAGACATCGTGCTGAGTCGAAATAAGCAGACCAGTAAATACACACACTGCATGATTCCACTTACACGAAATTCTACCACATGCAAAACTGCTCCAGGCTGGGTGGGGGTGAGAAAGGGCACACGTGACTGAACTGTTCTATATCTAGACAGGAGCATAGGCAACAAGGTGTATTTGTGGAAACTCGTGGTGAGATTTGTGCATTTCATTGTATGTAAATTATACCCAACTTTTTAAAATTAAATTAAAAAACTCTAAACCGGCCTTTTAGAGTAAACATCATCTTAACTTTGGACCAAGGTCTAATTTAATCACTCCAATTAAAAAAAACAAAAACAAAAAAAAACAGCCACATCTTTCTGTCATCCAATCAATAGCAAAATACAAAAAGGGGAAAAAAAGGAATATTTACAAAATATGTACTATAGTCAGGTACCTTCCTATTGTCTAATTATTAAGTCATTTAATTCTCCAAACTAAATGGACAAAGCAGATCCATTTACACATAAGGAAAACTTGGAAAAGTTACTAAATCTCTAATGCTAAAAAAATACTGCTTCAGAAAATTTAAAACACAAACATATATGGAAAAACAAAATTGCTGATTATATAAATCCAAAGTACTAGAATAACATTAAAAAAAAATCAGGGATGTTAATAATGCATTAAAAAAATTAAAACCCCCTAACCAAGTAACAGTATGGTAAGGCAAAATTTTCCCATTATGCTGGTTAGATGTGGATACCTGAAGCTGGGGACAAACTGCTCTAAATATGGCACCTCCTAAAGAGAAAACAATTAAGGGGAGACAATAACTCCTGCAGGTTTTATTACAAGGCAACTGAATGAGTGCACAAGTACTCACCCTCACTGGGTCTCAGTGAAGGAGGAAGGCGGGAGGTGGTGACAGAAGGCAGAAAGATCACTGGCTGGCCGGAAAGATGCTGTGCCTTTGTAAGGTGCTCCCCTCTTGCCCCTTCCTGGCTTCCAAAGGAAGTAAGAGGCTCCAACACCACTACCCTGAGAAAGGGGAAGGCCCAGGGTGCCTGGGTGGCTCAGTTGGTTAAGTGCCTGACTTCAGCTCAGGTCATGATCTTGAGGTTTGTAAGTCTGAGCCTTGCATGGGGCTCTGTGCTGAGAGCCCAGAGCAGGGAACCTGCTTTGGATTCTGTGTTTCCCTCTCTCTCTGTACCTCCCCTGCTTGTAATGTCTCTCTCTCTCTCTCTCTCTCTCTCTCTCTCTCTCTCTCTCTCCCCCTCTCTCTCTCAAAAACAAATAAAAGTCCAAAAAATTAAAAAAAAATAAAAGAAAGAAAAGGAAGGAAGGAAGGAAGGAAGGAAGGAAGGAAGGAAGGAAGGAAGGAAGGAAGAGAGGGAAGGCGGGAGGGAGGGAGGGGAAGGCCCAGTGACCAGCCGTCCAGCATGTCCAGTGGCCCAATGGCAGCATTGTGTCTACACAGCTCTTTTGAGCAAACCAAACCCACCCCCGCAAGCTAGAGCAGGCTTCACTATGCACTGGACACAGCCTGGACACAGAGAGGCTTCCTGCAATTCGGTGACACCAGGAAAGGCAGCTAGTCTGCATGTGAGATCAACTGGGAGCTGCTCTTCCATATTCGGGAACTATGCTCCAGGCCGGTCCACAAAATCACTGAGGAAACTCACACACAGGCTCTAAAACATTCCTAAAGTTTAAAGTCCATTGGAGGTAGTGGCTGGAGAAAAACTAAATCTAAATTTCAAACTTATACTCTAGTATAAATAAATATACTAGATATCTAGTAAATAAATATACTAAATACAGTAAATATCTAGTATATATAAATATAAATTTATACTCTAGTATACTCAAGTTCAGACTGTCAAATCTTCAAACTATTCATTAAGAATGTTGTTCATAAATTAGGGGGCGCCTGGGTGGCTCAGTTGGTTAAGCATCTAACTCTTGGTTTTGTCTCAGGTCATGATCTCACAGTTTCAAGCCCAATGTCGGGCACCTGCTGGCAGCACAGAGCCTGCTTAGGATTCTCTCTCTCCCTCCTCCCTCACTCCCTCCCCCACTCACACTCTCTGTCTTTCCCAAAGTAAATACATAAAAACTTAATTAAAAAAAAAAGTTCATAAACTAAAGTCCTTTCTTTTTTAACCAAACAGACCATGTTAATAATGTTCACAAGCAGTGAAAATCAAGGTTCTCATTACAAATACCAAGTTATAAAAAAACACATCAAGAATCTTAACCATCAAATTACATTTCCTTCCTCAAATATCTTACGGGAAAACCAAAGCAGAAGAAGGAAACAGGAGTTTGTCAGGTTAGTAGTGTGCTCAAATTCTGCAAAGAAATACCAGAAAATATAAAACATATGGTGATTCACTCTCTAAAGTTAACACTGCTGATTACTTGATCCATTTTTCTTTTGTAAAAATCAAGAGGCAATCTAAACTCCACCCAAAAGCAAAACAATTGAAATGCTCTCATCAGGTAGCCAATAGCATATAAAACCAAAGACTAAAAAGGAAAACCTTCAAACGGGTGCTCTTTGCAGAAGTCAAAAACATTATGGAATACATATTTCAAAGACTCACTGCCAGGAGTGCAGTAAATGGGATCTTTGAGTAAGGAATGCAACGTGGAAAAATATTTCCCAGTCTGGAAAAGATTTTGAGTAAAAATAAAACTTCTTAAGCTTGAGAAAGACCTAAATAAAATGAAACACAACGGGTCTGTTGCCAACAATGCTAGAAAATATACAAAAAGCATAGACTTTTCTCTGTATTTTATAAATGAAAAAATTGAGGCCTATAGTATATACAAGACAAGTCACATGTCAAGAGGGCAAACAGCAGTGTGCATTCAATACAAACCAATTTAGAAACCCTTGGTTACACCTTGGTTACACACATAGCGAGCGGGTTAGTAACAGGTTATGTCAAAATATACTGTTTGCTCTTCCCAAGTAACCCCTCCATTTCCTCACCTTTTCTCCTCTCTATCTGGAATGTTCTCCATCCCCATCACCACCTTCTGAAATCCTACCAGTCAGTCCTTTAAGGCTCATTCCAAAGGCAACTTCCTCCACTGTTCAGCCTTCCTCAATTATTCCAGCTAGAAGAAACATATTCTAAAGTCCCGTAGTGAACTTTCTCTGCCATATTTAGAATCTGTCATTTGTAATTATTTTTTCTTCTCTACTCAACTGCAAACACCTTGACGGCAATGACCGTATCAATATTTTCCCCCCAGTCCTCCACAATATCAAGCATTATACCCTACACACAGGAAGCATCTCGATAAATGTATACAAAATGAATTAAAAGGGAGGAATTGTTTCAGTTAAAAGTGATAATTACTTTAATATCAATATTAAATAAAATGGTTACTCTAAAATGACAATAATATTAATAGAAAAAAATATAATTTATAGCACTGACCCTTGGTGGCCCAATAATCATGCCTGTCCACCTTGTAAGTGTCATATCTTCATCATCTTCAAGGCCCCAGCTAACCGTACCATCGCCTACTCCTTTTTGTCCTTCTTCAAGTTCTTCCAACAAGCGAAAATTACGAGGAACTTTAACTCCTATACAAAAGAATGTAAATGTAAAAAGCCCATAATTACAAGAGTTGCATATATTCAAATTGAGCTTTTTCCAGTTTAAACTTTACAAATTATTTCCCAAAATGCCAAATTCCCTTTAAGCATTCTCCCCCAGAAAACGCTCAATCTAAAACCACTCAAAATGAAAACCCTGAAGAAAACACCGTAACCAATATTAGCTGCAGCATAGAACATGTAGATAAATTCCTAACAAATCAATGTTATCCTGGCATAAATCAGTCATAAGGAAATCATTATAAAATGAATATTTTCCATAACTGAGATTTCTGTTCCAAGCCTAGAACACTTCATCAAGTAAATAGGCAGGACCAGAAAGTTCAAATTCATTAACATGTCCTCTCTAATGCTTTTTAAAGAACAGAATTATGTTCCATCTTTAAAAAAGCACTAGAGGGCACAATTTTTTCCAAGAATGCTGAAGCAGCCCCATCCATGGCCCCCAGTCAGTCTCCTTTCTTGTCCTCATCCCTAACTAGAGGGTCTTACCTCTCCCCATGTCAGCATGGGGCGTCATCATCCCTTGGGGAGCTCCTTGATTTGAGAATAACTCTCCTTATGGATATAGCAGTTTCCTAGGACCCGCCCTTCACCTCTGGGCCCAACCCAGCAAATTTTGCACCATCCACTAGCCCTTCTCATACCTCCCCCTCTTTAGACTTCATCACCCCTACTTTATTTCTAAAATCTTAACACAGAAGTTTGCCTCTCTGCCCAGAACCTAGCATTTCACAGTTCTCACTCCTTCGTCCTCAACAGACCTGGTCTTTGCCACCATTGTGACTTCCAATCCCTGGAATCCAACCATGATTCTTCCAACTGACCACAACCTTTCTTACAATTACTGGTCTCACGTCTCCAAAGAACGGACCTTGTGGTCTTTCATGTTCTCAAAAGCATCTAGATTGAAACATCCCCCAGCCCCACCACACAAGTCTTGAAAAAATTAGGTAAATGCCCTCAGAAGCCTCTCTTTGGCTCTAGAGCTTGTGCACATGTGGCCGTGCACTCTCTCTCTCATGCATGCACACACACGATTATGATTTTTGGGGGGGGGGGGGATGGGATGACATCGCTTCTAAAGTGGCCATCAGCGGGGCGCCTGGGTGGCGCAGTCGGTTGAGCGTCCGACTTCAGCCAGGTCACGATCTCGCGGTCCGTGAGTTCGAGCCCCGCGTCGGGCTCTGGGCTAAAGGCTCAGAGCCTGGAGCCTGTTTCCGATTCTGTGTCTCCCTCTCTCTCTGCCCCTCGCCCATTCATGCTCTCTCTCTCTCTCTCTGTCCCAAAAATAAATAAACGTTGAAAAAAAAAATTTTTTTTTTTAAATAAATAAATAAAGTGGCCATCATTTTGTATAACTTCTCTCTTGGTGAAACCAAAACATCTTTCACTTACTAATTGACAGTAACCCTTCTGGACATGTAACGAAAAAGCAATAAAAATACTGTAAATTAAAAGAACACTAGCCATTTTGTGCTTCATGAAAAAATGCTTGAAAATCTTGGGCCACAGAAATACAGAGCTTTTACAAATCACCAAAAAAAAAAAAAAAAAAAAAAAACCACAAAAATAGCCATTATTACAACTACTATGATTATTAAAACCATTTGTTGGGCATATATTGTGTTCTATTTTATTTAAAAAAATTTTTTTTTCAACGTTTATTTTTGGAACAGAGAGAGACAGAGCATGAATGGGGGAGGGGCAGAGAGAGAGGGAGACACAGAATCAGAAACAGGCTCCAGTCTCCGAGCCATCAGCCCAGAGCCTGACGCCGGGCTCGAACTCACGGGCCGCAAGATCGTGACCTGGCTGAAGTCGGACGCTTAACCGACTGCACCACCCAGGCGCCCCTGTGTTCTATTTTAAATAAATCATCCCCTTTAATCCTAAAAGCACCCATTTTACAGTTGTGGAAACTGGGCTATGAAGAAGTTATGTCACACAGCTGTAAGAGGCAGATCCAGTACTGAAGTCCAGTTTTCTAGACCAGAGTCACTTTTACATCAAGTCACACAGCAGTACAAACTACACAAGTGGCATATCCTGTCACAGATCTAGAAATCAGACTGCCCAGGTCCAGATCTGCTAACCACTTAACATGTGACTCCCAGCCCTGCTTTCTCACCCGTAAAACTGAGGTAACAATAGTTCCTACCTCACAGAATCACTGTGAAAATTAAACAAGGTAATCCACCTTAAACACAATAAATGTTGACTATGATGACCATTTTAGTGTTTGTATTAGATGGAATTACATAAAACTTCCATTAGCCTCCATCTATGCTACGTGAGAATAAAAGCTCTTTATTCTTTAAAAGAATAATATTCTATATATGAGAATATATTCTATGTATTAGAATATACTTTATGAAATGATATATCTACTCTATAAAAGCTCTAAAAACTGTAGGGTGGCCCCTAGAAATTTTACCCTAAGCTGTTAGTTTCTATTCACCTAACATCGGGACAGCTGCTATTTTCCTGTAGCTTATACAGTCATGACCTCCACAATGCATTGCTACTGAACTCCTTTTTAAAATAACCTTAAATCAGCTTGATTATCCTTACCATTTAAAGCCATTCCCCAAGAATTATTCTAAAAAAAATTTTTTTTGATGTTTTTATTTATTTTTGACACAGAGAGAGACAGAGCATGAGCAGGGGAGGGGCAGAGAGAGAGGGAGACACAGAATCTGAAGCAGGCTCCAGGCTCAGAGCTGGAGCACAGAGCCCGACGCGGTGCTTGAACTCAGGAACCGCAAGATCATGACCTGGGCTGAAGTCGGACATTTAACCGAACTGAGCCACCCACACGCCCCTCCCCAAGAATTATTCCAAATTTGCATTGAATTCTGTTGCTGATTTATAAACAATTCAATCAAGTGACCTTTATGAGCATCCAAAACTACAAAGGGAACTAGAAAATTAAGGTTTCTTCTTATATAAGTGCCGTAAAAGTGATAAAGATAGTTACTACTAAACTTTTCACCATTTCTTTATATTGCATTTTGGGAAAATAATTGTAAGACTAATAGATAATTACTGATAGTACTAACATTTAAAAAATTATAGCAGCTAAGACGATTTTGCTTTTAAAGTATAAGACAAAAAAATACAAGATTAACACTGAGTCATATTTTCAAATTCAGGGTTAGAGTACGCTGGTTTTATTTCAACCAACCACTAATATCTGTGAGGAAATAAAAGCCACAAGGTGGGGATGTTACTCCATGAAAATTGAAGTATTTACGTAGACTGCCCTCTGGATCTCTTGCCATATATGAGCCTTTTTCTATAGTTCTACTTGTCTTTTTCCTGTATGTCTGTGTGTGTTATTAAGTTTAAACTATTTTGTTCTGTCAGTCTTGAATCTTCATTAAAAGAAAAAAAAAAAGTCACCCATAAATCCATCCTTCCTAGCTGAAGCTTTTAAAATGATGTCAATTTTTGGTCCAGAAGAATACCAAAGATCATCCAGTCCAAAACCTAATACTTTAGAGGAAATAAAATTATCACCAGTAAAAGTGGAGTGATAATCCTAAAGTCACTTAACTATTAATTGACAAACCAAGTCAAAAACCTCTAGGCTTCTCCACTAATCTAGTTTCTTCTTTAGTATGTTACAATGAACCTATACTCCTGGGAAATAAGACCAAAAATAATGACATTCATAACCAAAACTCTGAATGCAAACAAATACATTCTAGAAAAATGCTTCCAGTTTTAAATGTGAAAGATATCAAATTGCACATCACTTGCCTTTAATTCCCATGATACCAAAAATAAAGGCATAAAGACTGCCAAATAAAGCCCAGAATGAATCTTGTCATGCAATGTTTATTAAGAAAAAAGATTTCCCAACTTTAACTCATACATTTTGACCTTTTTCAAGTTACAAGGAAAAAAAGGCTAAGAACTTGAATAGTAATAAATCTATCCAATCAGCCATACAAACATGAGAAACAACAGCAAAGCAAATTTACTACCAGTTTGCAATTAATCATCTAAATTAAGTAAGTTCTACCACAAAAAAAAGACAAGAGGTGGTATAGTTTTAGAGAGGGCAGTATAAATTCCAGTTCTACCTGATGGTGAACATTCTAAGATGTACAAAAGCCCCTAAAATTCAAAAAATAATTATTGTTACCAATGTAGTGTATTTCTCTTCAGATTATTTTCCATACAAAATATATGGCTTCCATGCTTTTTTCCCCAAAATGAGTTCATGCCTCAAAGTTTTGTAACTTCCTTTTCCCCCACCTACGAACTTATTTCTGTGGCAAACATAATCAGGTGCCATCTTAAAATGCCCCAATGAATAATATTAGTCTTGCTTGGGGGGCAGGAATAGGAAGACTTGACTAGGGGAATCATCACCTACTCAAAACTTAAAGGAGGGGTGCCTGGGTGGCTCAGTCGGTTGGGCGTCCGACTTCGGCTCAGGTCATGATCTCACCGTCCATGAGTTCAAGCCCTACATCGGGCTCTGTGCTGAAAGCTCGGAGCCCGTTGCATGCTTTAGATTCTGTCTCCCTCTCTCTCTGCCCCTCCCCCACTCAAGCTCTGTCTCTGTCTCTCTCAAAAATACACATTACAAAAAAAATTTTTTTAATTAAAGGAAAATATCTGTAGAAATGGAATAAACGCTTTCTGTTTTATGTGCTTTTCAACCCTCCTCTAGCTGATCCTCACAAACACCCAGGTCCCAGGTTGGCTATGGGTCCCCTCCCCTCACCCCACTACCCAGAGGGTCTACAAGGTTCAAGAAGAGAGTGTATGGGGCATGTGTGCTGCGGGATGTGGCCAAGGCTGCTTACGTGTCCCCTGCAGAGTCCTTGGGCAGGGATTTCAACAAACATGAGTGGACACACTGTTAAGATGGCACTCATGAAAAGCCCCACCTTTGATTTTAGTTCTCTGATTGTGCACCCCCCCTGGGAGTTCTGAGTTCTCAACCCCCA